TTCTTGAAATGGTTAAGTATAGGTCAACTCTTTTTGGTATGTTGTTGTTACTGTTGTTGAGTGCTGTTGAGTGGATTCCAATGCATAGCAACCTTGTAGAGTTTCCAAGAAACAGCTGGTGAACTTGAACTGCCACCTTGCAGTTCAAATGGCTTTGCAGTCTGGTGCATTAACCCACAGCGCTACACGTTTGGTATAGTGACTCTGTATTTCTTTCATCTTCTTTTGATGCTTCCTGCATCATTCAATATTTTGCCCATAGATCCCTTCAATATTGCAAGTCAGAGTTTGAATTTTTCTTCAGGTCTTTCAGCTTGAGAAATGCTGAGTGCATTTTTCTTTTTGGTTTTCTAATAGTTTACTTTGTCTTCTGGAGCTGCCCTTTCAAATTTTCTGTTCAGCTCTTTTACTTTATCACTTCTTTCATCCGCTTTACCTTGTCTACATTCAAGAGCAAGTTTTAGAGTCTCTTCTGGCATCTATATTGGTCTTTTAATTTTTTTTCCTTTCCTTTTAATGACCTTCTGTTTTCTTGATATCACCAAACATTAGTGTCTAATGCATCAAGTCTTTTTTTGAGATGGTCTCTAAATTCCTGTGGGATATGTTTAAGGTCATATTTTGGTTCTTGTGGACTTATTTTTTAGAGTATGTCATGAAGTCCCCACCCCCGATTCTGTGAGTATCATTGTTTTATAGATGAGAAGACTGCAACTCAGAATTATTAAGTATTTGCAAACCTAGCAAATAATTTACAGAGCTACACCGAGAATTTAAATCTCTGGCTTCCATTTGAATACTTACTCTGTTATATACAGGAGATACTATATTCTGTTGTTGTTGAGTGCCGTCGAGTCGATTTCGACCCATAGCGACCCTGTATAGGGTTTCCCAGGAGCAGCTGGTGAACTTGAACTGCCGATCTTGCAATTCAAACGGTTTTGCAGTCTGGCGCATTAACCCACAGCGCCATACCAGACTTTATTCTGTAAGTAGAATTAATTATTATCTGAGAAGTTTGAAATATCTTTTAAATAAATGTTTAAAAAATAATTGCCTTTAGCTTTGCCTTATGAGTGGAGAAATCATTCAGATGTCCCCTCAAATGAGCCTCATCTTTGAAACAATGGACCTATCCCAGGCCTCAGTAAGTTCATAATTTAATATAACAGTGTTTTAAACAGTTTTTGTTCATTTATTAATTTAGTCAAGAAATACTTTTTATTATTTGTTAGATACTGGGTTAGACACTGAGAACACAACAGTGAATAAGAATGAGGAGCATGAGTATAAATATTCCCAGTAGAGAACTACATGAAGGTGCTCCGAGAGTATGGGGAAGAGTAAGCATTCAAGTGGAGAATAGGTACAGAAGACATTGAAGGTGTTTGAGTGTTTGATCTGGTTTGAAGGAGAAGTAAAACCTTTCCAGGGTGATTGGTTGAGACAAGGCTTATTCTAATTATGTTAAAATGACATGTCAAACATGAAGCCATGATATCATGGCATGTTAGGGGAACTGAACAGCCAATGATTTTCTGTTTGGGAAAAGTCTGGTGTATGTGAGGCAGCCAGGAAAGGCTGTAGGGATAAGGGAGCCAGATCATGCACAGGATCCTTGCAAATCATGCCAAGAAGTACTTGATAGTTGTCATGTACCATTGGTGTAAAAGCAACATTGGGAAAATTAAACTTGTCTTTTTTCTCTAGCCTGCCACTGTAAGTCGCTGTGGCATGATTTATTTGGAACCCTCACAATTAGGATGGGAACCACTTATTTCCTCATGGTTGAGTTCATTGAAAGGACCGCTACGTGAACCAGAGCATCAAGCTCTTCTGCAAGAACTTTTTGACTGGCTAATACCTCCCACTCTAAGACTTCGTAAAAAACAGTGCAAGGTAGCTCTATAATTCTCAGACGTATTCAGGTTTCTTTTGTTTATATTCAGCTTGGCTAAGTCACAGTGGTGGGGTAAATAACTAAACTGGTTTTTCCTAGCACATTTATATTCACCTTTGATTTCATATTGATTGAGGTAAAATTTGCTTCCGCTTAATTACTTGGATAAAACTCTAGTGAGTAAGGTTTTAAAAATGCCAGTTATCTTCTGTATTTTGAAAGAATTTTAAATACATGCCTTTGAAAAAAATCAAATGCTTATTTACTATTCTGTGAGAAAATTTTACATATTGTATTCATTTCATTTGACTGTCATAGCAAATTACTACAGACTTGGTGCCTTAAAATAACAGAAATGTTCTCTCACAGTTCAGGAGGCTAACAATTCTAAATCAAAGTGTTGGTTGAGCTGATCTACCTCTGAAGACTGTGCTGTCGAGTCTGTTCCTACTCATAGTAACCCACGCACAACAGAACGTAATACTGCCCTGCCCTGTACCATCCTCACAGTTGTCATGTTTGAGCCCATTTTTGCAACCACTTTGTCAATCCATTTTGTTGGGGTCGTCCTCTTTTTCACAGATCCTCCACTTTTCCAGGCCTTTTCTAGGAACTCCTGATAGCACGTCCAAAGTATATGAAATGAGGTCTCACCATCCTCACTTCTAAGGAACATCCTGACTGTACTTCTTCCAAGATAGATTTATTTGTTCTTCTCTCAGTCCATGGTACTTCAGTATTCTTGCCTCTTCCAGTTTCCAGATGTTCTTTGTAGTTGCAAAACTCCAATCTCTGCCTCTGTGCTTCTATGGTCTTTTTTGTGGGTCTTTCTTTTATGTGTTTTCTATATGGATAATTGTCAGTGGATTTGGGGGTCTTCCAACATTATCTAGAGTCCTGTGGCATTGTGGGTGAGTGCATCAGACAGCAAAGTCATTTGAACTTTAAGTTTGATGGCTCAAAAGCTTACCAGCTGCTCCTTAGAAACCTTATGCAGGGTCTCTATGGGTCAGAATTTACTTGATGGCAGTTAACACCAACAACAACATTATCTAAGATCGTCTTAGCTCAGTGTTAATTTTATGATGTGCTTTAAAACGTTAAGGGAATTAAAAGACAATGGAAGTTTTCCACAATTTTTCTGAAGCTCCCTTGTATCTGCCATGACCCTTTCCCTACACACAATCAAATTCACAGCTTGCAGTTATTAGAATTTGTTGTTGTTGTTAAGTGCCATCATGTTGGTTCCAACCCATAGCCACCTTGTATAGAGTTTCCAAGGAGCTTGAAAGGCCAACCTTATGGTTCAAACTGACTTTGTAGTCTAGTGTATTAATCCACAGTGCCACACCAGGACACTAGGTACTAGGGTAGATATGGATAAATCTTTTATTTTTTTGAAACATTTTATTATGAATTAAGTGAAGGCTTGCAGAGCAGATCATCAGTTTTACATTCAACAAATGCTACACTTTGTTTCATCTCAATGACTATAACCTCCTCGTTACAACAGTTATTCCACTTCTTCCCTGTGGTTTTATTTCCATTTCACCCTCCTTCCCAACCTTTCTGAACTTTGTCTTTAGTTAATGTTGCTCTTTTGATCTTGAAACGTTGACCATTCCATGGCGAGCTTACTTTACTAGTGTTGTTCCCCATATACCTATCTACTGCATGACTGACAATGGAGTCATGAGAGTGAGTTCCATTCCAGACCTGATAGGTAGCCAAAGGACACAGTCTTGGGTTCCTCCAGTCTCTTTCTAACCAGTAATCCTGATTTTTTTTTCAAATTTTGAGTTTTGTTCCACATTTTCTCCCCCTCTATCCATATCTTCTAATGTGGCCCTTTCAGAGGAGTGGGTAGTGGTAGCTGGACACTGTATAGTTCTTGTGGTTACAGAATCATGGAGACTTCTGTTCATGTGTTCTGTTAGTTCATTGGACCAATTGATTCCAAATATCTTCAGTTTTCATCACTCTTCTTTCCTCTGCACATACAACAATAGTTGTACCTTAAATGTCTGTTCATGAGCTTTTAAGATCGCAGTTGCTATTCATGAAAATAGGATGTAGAACATTTTCTTTGAGGATTTTGTTATGCCAGTTGACCATGGTGTCCCCTGAGACTATGATCCTGAGCCCCTACACCCACCAATTCTTTTCTTCAACGTGTTTGGTAGTGTCTAAGAAATTTTCATCCTCTTGCCTCCTATATACTCCAACATATTCACTGGTATGTTTACAGTGAAGGGAAATACCCAAACTCTTATTTATTTGTAAGTAGAGTCACATTGTCTCTCCCATACCCATTCAGCCTGTGTATCTGTCCATATATATAACCATATCTGTCCATATATATAACCATAGAACACTGTTGTTGCAGAGTTGTGTAGCTAACTGTATTTGCCTCTATATTATTTACCCTTACATTCCTCTCTGCATCTTTACCTTTCTTCATCATTCTTCTGTCAACCTCCCTCTTATTGTGTATTGCCTTCCCATTGCCTAATTTAACATGTGTCTACCTTGTAGCCAGTGAGTTACTCTCCTCTCTCCTATGCCTGGTGACCATTACGAAATGTGTCTTTTAGCATGAAAACCTTTTCTTGATTTTTTACAATAGTGGTCTCATACAATAGTTGTCCTCTTTTGATCGCCTGATTTCACTCAGCATTATAACTTCCATGTCATGTGGTATTTCGCTTATTCATTGTTATTCTTTAGCGTTGCATAGCATTCCATTGTGTGTATGCACCAAAGTTTGTTTATCTGTTCTACTGATGGGCTTTTAGGCTGTCTCCATCTTTTTGCTATTGTGAACAATGCTGTGATGAATGCGAATGTGCATTTATCTACTCACTTCATGGACAAATCTTTTTAAGAGTCACCATTTAACTCACAGGAGTCCTTGTGTGGGTCTGTAGGATAAGCACAGGACTGCTAACCCCAAGGTCATTAGTTCATACCCACCAGCTGATCCTTGGAAATCCTATATAGGGTTGCTTTGATTTGGAATAGACTTGGACGCACTTAAAAACAACAACAAAATTCAACTCACTATATACATTTACAGAGTCCTGGTGTGGTGCTGTAAGATAAGCACTAGACCGAATGGTCAATTTGAGTTACAAGGTCAATGGTTCAAACCCACTAGCCACTCCTTAGAAACCCTATATAAGGTCACTATGAGTGGAAACCCACTCAATGGCACTTAACAACAACAGATATGTTTACACATATAACTTCTGTTGCCCTGGTCATCTTTCCCTTCTTTACCAAATAATTTATGTTTTTCTTCCAAATTCATCCGAGCTTGCAGTTAGCAGCCCTGTGCTTATCCTCGAACACCACAAGGGCTCCTTTCTATACCCAACAGGATGGTGAAATTTAGCAATCCTCCATTAGAATTCCAAGTTTTTAAAATCAGAATTAATCCTGTTAACAATCATTCACAACTGAATCATATAATCCTATCAGCATATTTCCCCACCTTCATTTATTGAGACCCATCAAGAAAAGAGGAAATATGCACAGTCTGCATGGTCCCACTCAGTTGTTTGGTGGGAATTACAAAGAATATGGGCATAAGAGCCATATTAAGTAATTCACTGCCCACAATAAGGCTGTTGTTGTTAAGTCCCGTCAAGTTCTGACTCATAGCAACCTTGTATAGGGTTTCCAAGGAGTTGCTGGTGGGTTTAAATGGCCAACCTTGTGGTTAGCACTTCAATTCTTTTTCAATAGCACCACACCAGGACTCCACAATGAATCTAGGCTAATTGTTTATCCCAAAGTATTCTAGTAGCCTCCCCTGCCCTTTCCCCCAAGGAATTCCCCCTTGGAATTCCTCTGCCATATCATTATTATGCCAAATTATTTTTGTCTATTTAATTTCAGTAGCACTCTCTGTAAAAGATTGTCTTTTATTTCCATATTTCCCAGCTTGGTATATAGGTATAGTATGTTGTTCATAAATATTTGTTGAATAAATAAATGAATGAATGGCTGTTAGAGTCTTTATTTCTGCTACTTCCAGAACATAGTTTATTTTCTAATGGTAGCTAGTTTTCATTTGTTAGAGAATTTATAATAAGAATATGTTTTGTCTAGTTGTGTATATAATGTGCTATACTAAGGTATTTGTCAGATATGGTTTGCAAATTATTTTTACCACACCTATAATTTAAATTCTTTTAGTCTTAGAAAGGCCTTTTGAAAACTATGTATTTTTAAATCAGTTTTATAAAATGAAGCATTCATCTTCTTTTGTTCTCCAAATAAGATGTTAAGGAAAGTCTCTTATTCTTTTTATTTGGCAGGAACTGATTCCTACAAGTGATAGTAATGCGATTGTTTCTCTCACACGCCTGTTTGAAGTCCTACTTTGTCCTGTGGTAGAGAATGACCCCACCAGCAAGCACATTCGTGTTTGGATTATGGTTGGTTTTATATTTAATGTGGTTTTAATTACAGAATTAAAATTTTCTTTGGCAATTAATACTTGTATTGCGGAAGACATTATGAGGTATTAGCTACAAAGCTGTTTTTCAGCGAGCACCAAAAGAGTAGTTGAAGTCATTAAAGTTGCCCTTACCTGGTATTCTGATGTTAAAAAACACTTTGAAGAAAGTTAAACAAATCTGAATAAATCAAAACTGCCCTATTATTTATAAAAGGTTTGTAATTTGAGAAACACTTAAGATGGTGAACTTACATTAAGCCAACATAGACTTACTATGAATTGACTTCATCTTAATATTAAGCTAGAATGTGGACAGCAACAAGTTGGCTATGAAAGGAAACAGCCACGGAGATGGAATGTGCTGTAGGCATAGCCATGGAAGAAGTAAGTAGGGAGAAGTCAATAGTTGTCGTTAGCATATGCACTAGTGAGAAGACACTATCAAAGACTAACCAAGATAAAGATGTTTTTGGTTTTTTCTTTACTTTTCCATCCATTATCTTATTTTTAAATTCCTCCTTCTTTCTCCTCTACTCCCACTACCTTCTCTTCTACTCTGTGGCAATAAAAGCTCCTTTCCATTGCTTTCCCTTCATCCTGTTGATACAGAAAAGCTTCTATCCCAGACATCTCACATTCCAGAGTCCTCTGCTAATGATAAACCGTCTAACTTTCCTCGTCCCTTCTCATCTTACATGCCAGCGTGCTAAAAGAAATTGAACAGATTTGTTATTTTTATAAAATAAAAGTATCCTAGGAATAGTTCAGCAACATAACCTTTGATTTATATATTTCCTGAGATTTTTCACTTTGTTGGCAAACTTAAACTCCAAACATTTTCCAAATGTTCAGAATCATTTAGAGAATTTTATCTAGATTGATATCTGATTAAGTTCTCTTTTAAAATATATTTAATAGATTTATTTTTTACTACATAGGCATATGCCTAGAGTAAAATTCAGAAGACAAAAATAGATGTTCCATCCATCCCCGTCCCTCAGCCACTCATTTACCTCCCCCAGATCAACCACTTCTAGAAGCTTTATTTAGCCTCTGTTGTTGTTGTTAAGTACAGTGGAGTTGGTTCTGACTCATAGTAACCCTGTACAGGGTTTCCAAGGCTGTAAATCTTTACAGGAGCAGAAAGCCTCATCTTTCTCCCATGGAACCGCTGGTAGTTTCAAACTGCCGAGCTTGAGGTTAGCCACCCGATTAGTGACCACTACACTATCAGTTCTCCTCATTTAGCCTTTTAGAAGTATTTTATTCATACACAAAAATAGATTCTCATTTGTTGTGTTGGTAAGTACTGTCGAGTTGGTTCCAACTCAGAGCGACCCTGTATAGGGTTTCCGAGGAGTGACTGGTGAGTTTGAACTGCCTACCTTGAAGCTCTGGTAGCGTAGTGGTTACGAATCGGGCTGCGAACCTAAAGGTCAGCGGTTCGAAACTACCAGCTGCTCCGCGGGAGAAAGATGAGGCTTTCTACTCCCGTAAGGATTTACACCCTCGGAAACCCTGTACAGGGTCGCTATGGGTCGGAACCGACTCGACGGCACGTAACAACAACAACAACAACCTTGAAGTGCAGTGCATTATCCTACAGCGCCACACCAGGACTCCGTACTCTCATGTTGTTGTTTTTAAGTGCTGTTGAATCCGTTCCAACCCATAGTGACCCTGTATAGGGTTTCTGAGGAGTGATGGTTGAGCTTGAACTGCCGAACTTGCAGATCAAACTGATTTTGTAGTCCAGGGCATTAATCCATAGCGCCACACCAGGATTCCATGGACTCTGTATACTCTCATATATGTATATAATTTTAAAACTATATTTACATCCTAGATATACACTGCTTTGTATCTTTTTATTTTTCATTTATAATGTATCTTCAAGATTGTTCCATATTAGAATTAAATTTACCTTATTTTTTAAACAGCTACATGTATTCCAGTGTATGTTTCATAAGACCCTTAGCGAAGAATGTTGGGTTGCCTCTGATGTTTTCCACTACTCATCTGTCCATGTGTTATACTGTGGTGGTTTGTGCATTGCTGTGATGCCAGAAGCTATGCCTACAGAGTTACCCATAGTGGACAAATGTCAGTGAAGCTTCCAGTTTAAATGGACTGTTGTTGTTAAGTGCTGTCCTGTCAGTTCCAACTCATAGAAACCCTGTATAGGGTTTCTGAGGAGCAGCTGGTGGGTTTGAACCATTTCACTGAGTGACTCACAGTCCCGTGCTTATCCTACAGTTCCACACCAGGACTCCTAGGAAGAAGGAAAAGGAAGTCCACTTCTGAGGGATTAGCCACTGAAAACCTTATGCGTAGCAACAGAGTTATCTTATATAGTGCTGGAAGATAAGCCCCTCAGATTGGAAGGTATATAAAATAAGACTAGAGAAAAGTTACCTTCTCAAAGTGGAGTCCACTTTAATAATGTGGATGGAGCAAAGCTTTTGGGACCTCTTTTTGCTGATGAGGCATGACACAAAATGAGAAGAAATAACAGCAAACATCCGTTAGTAATAGGCATGTGGAATGTTCGATTTATGAATCTAAGAAAATTGAAAGTTGTCAAAAATGAAATGGAGTGCATAATGATTGATAATCCTAATTATTACTCAGGTTCATGTTGAACTGCAAACCACAAGGTTGGTGGCTCAAACCCACCAGCCGCTCTCTGTGAATAAAGATTTACAGTGTCAGAAGTCCTATATAGGATTGTGATAAGTCAGAGTCAACTCACTGGCAGTATGTTTAGTTGTTTGCTTAGTGAGCTGAAATGGACTGGTATTGGCTATTTTGAATGGCATGGTCATATGGTGTTCTATACTGGGAATGACAAATAAGGAATGGTGTCACAGCTAAGGAATCAAATGATGTATTACATTGGCCAAATCTGCTACAAAAGACCTCTTTAAAGTATTAAAGAGCAAAGATGTCACTTTGAAGATTAAGGTACACCTGAATCAAGCATTGGTATGCCTCATGACCTCGGATGCATTTGAAAAATGGACAGTGAATAAGGAAGAACAGCAAAGAACTGATGCATTTGAATTATGGTGTTGGTGAAGAAAATTGACCATACCATGGACTACCCTGTCAGAGAACCTGACATATCTGTCTTGGAAGAAATAGAAGCTATAATGGCCTGTATCTTATGTACTTTGGACATATTATCATGTGGGACCAGTCCCTGGAGAAGGACATCATGCTTGGTGAAGTAGAGGGTCAGTGAAAATGAGGAAGACTCCCAACAAGATGGACTGACACAGTGGATGGGCTCAAATGTAACAATAATTGTGAGAATGGCGCAGGACTGAGAAGTGTTTCATTGTGACTCAGTGGCACCTAACAACAACTGATCTTTTGCTGTTACAGCCAGTGCAATAGTGAATATCTGGTACATTTATCATTTTCACAGATGGGGAGTATATTTGAGGATAAACTATTAGAGGAGAAATTCTCAAGTATTTCGTATGCCCATTTTAAATGTTGATAGAGATTGCCAGAAAAATGATTATGTAACAGCTCTGCTCCTTCGCACTGTATTTGTAAATAGGAACTTTTCAAAGTAGTTTGGCCAGGACTTCATGTTAAATTTTAGTTAAGGCTTTTAATTAAAAAAACAAAATAATAATTGCTATATATTGTTATGATTTTTTAAAATTGCATTCTTCTTTTCATCACAGGCTTGCTTTATATTCTCTTTGATTTGGTCTGTCGGAGGAAGTTGTGATACAGTCAGTCGTATTATTTTTGACACTTTCATAAGACAAATTCTACTGGGAAAGGATGAAGAAATTCCAGTGCCACAATCTGTGGGTAAATGGGAATGCAACTTTGATGAAAAAGGTCTGGTCTATGACTACATGTATGAGGTATGACATAAAATGCTTGATAAGATAAAACATAAAGCAAACAACTTGAATCAGCCAAGGAAACTCCTGGTTCCTAACCTAGAGTGCTTTTGGCTCATCTGGTGAGCTTTATAGTGTTCTCTCTTCTATTTCTCATCTTTATAATTTGTGGAAAGTATGTTGTTGTTGTTGTTATGTACCATCGAGTCGGTTCCGACCCATAGCGACCCTGTATAGGGTTTCCGAGGGTGTAAATCTTTATGGGAGTAGAAAGCCTCATCTTTCTCCCGCGGAGTAGCTGGTAGTTTCGAATCGCTGACCTTAAGGTTC